GTGTGTGTGTTTGTGTGTGTGTGTGTGTGTGTGTGTTTATGTGTGTGTGTGTGTGTGTGTATGTGTGTGTGTGTCTCTACGTGTGTATGTATCTGTGTGTGACTGTGTGTGTCTGTCTGTGTGTGTCTGTGTGTGTGTCTGTGTGTGTTCTGTTTGTGTGTCTAGGTATGTCTGTGTGTGTCTCTGTGTGTCTGTCTGTGTGTCTGTGTGCATATGTGTGTGTGTGTGTGTCTCTGCGTGTGTATGTATCTGTGTGTGTCTATGTGTGTCCGTGTCAGTGTATGTCCGTGTGTCTGTGTTTGTGTCTGTATTTGTGTATGTGTATGTCCGTGTCCGTGTATGTGTCCGTGTATGTCCGTGTCTGTGTATGTATGTGTATGTCTGTGTCTGTGTATGTATGTGCATGTGTCCGTGTCCGTGTCCGTGTATGTATCTGTGTATGTCCGTGTCCGTGTCTGTCTGTATCTGTGTATGTATGTGTATGTCCGTGTCCGTGTATGTATCTGTGTATGTGTCTATGTCCGTGTCTGTGTGTGTCTGTGTCTGTGTCTGTGTATGTCCGTGTGTTTGTGTCTGTATCTGTGTATGTGTATGTTCGTGTGTCATACCAACGTCATGGAATGTCTCAAACATGATAAGTTTGACAGTCACTTCCCGTCACCACCGCAGACGTCATCAGTGTGTTTTAGTTGGGAGTGTGCACGCTGTAGGGACAAAAAAATAAACAGAGGGAGAGCAGGACATGGGATATAGGAGCAAGAGAGTGAGGGCAGGCTTGAGTTTCAAGGTACGCTGGAAACGATACCTTCCTCGACGAAAGCAACAGCGTACACTGTACACTGAGTGCTTGGGAAGATGCAGATTTTGGTTCGACAATTCTGCTTCGGTGGTTCAACCGTGCGGCGCATAAGACAACAAAAACAGAGAATTAGTGAACAGTGTATCACACACACTCACACAAACTCTAAGACACACACAGACTCTCGGTCATTGATGTGTTCTGAGCATCATTATAATGAGTATCCAATAAGACAGTCAAGAGTTCCTGGATTCAACGCTCAACAAAGTATCACGTCCCCTTTGTTACCAGAAGTTATCTGCCCGGCGCTGTCTGCGCTCATCATCAACRACACGAATCATGTTGGAATCGTAAGAAGAAGTCCTCTCCACATATTCTCTTTGCTGTGTATCTCACAATGGCAGAAGTCTTCACACCATGAAAACGTCAGTGTGTTCACAGCATGCATCGTCAACAACCAGAATGAGCACAAGTCTTCACCGTTATGAACTTGGTTGCCTGACGAATTTTATCGCCACTCAAACACAGACAATCTCACACATGCCCATACATGCATAAGAGAAGGGGAGAGAGGAGACAGAGTCCACACTGCACACAAGTGAAAATAAGCAGCAGAAGACAGACATGCACATGTGAGGAGAGGACACACAGTGTTTCTCACTCTCTGACACAACTCCCAACAACCAATCACAAGAAAGAACATGCGAAGATCACAATTGGAAAGGTCACTTATGATGAGCAACTCATACAGTTATCGTAACAGAGTTTGTTCCAGTATGTTGCCACACTCAGTACTCACACCCCACTCTCTATCCTACACCCAGTTAGTAGCGCTGCATGAAAACAGCCTCCCAGAGGCCAGCGCCAACCACCCTGATGAAGAACAGGTCCTGCGATGAAGTCTTCAGTGTCGATGGACAACTCTGACAAAGGAACAGGCAGCTATGGCTGCCACCACCCAACGAACCACCACTGTAGAGCCTCGGTCCAGCCCGGCCAAAAGTGCTTACCCGGTGGGCCTATCCTATCTATCTACTCTCTAGACCTAGACCGGACTGACTGACCGACCGGTACCATTGCTGCTTCGGCCTCTCGGCCTCTACCAGACCCGGCTATAGGCTATAGGACCGTCTAGCAGAATAGGCCATGTAGGGCCTGTCTGTCGTAGGGGTGGCTCGGGCCTGCTATAGGCAGTCAGGGTAGCTGTACAAATTCGGTTAGTACGTGGCCTGTATTTTCCCGGATATACAAATCTCTGCCTCACGAATTTCCTCACAGGCAGGTTGGCGGTTAGCCCTCAGCCAAATAAAGTTGCGAATCTAGCCCTACGGGTTACTGTACAGCACACAGCACACACACACAGCACGCAACACACACACTAACACACACAGCTCACAGCACACACACAACACACACACACTACACAGCACACTATACAGCACACACACACATACTACACAACACACTACATAGCACTACAACACACTACACAGCACACAACACACAACACACTACAGCACACTACACAGCACACTATACAGCACAACAGCAGACAACACACTACACAGCACTACAGCACACAGCACACTACAACACAACACACAGCACACTACACAGCACTACAGCACAACACACACCACACAGCACACATTCAGCACACACACACTACACACACTTCACAACACACACAGCACACACACACTACACAGCACATAGTTTGACAGTCACTCACATACACAACTCACAGCACACACACAGCATACACACTACACAGCACACAACACACAGCAGTGAGCACACAACGTCGCTGAGTATTGAGTCAACACCGCATCTACACACTCATACACATTATATKTGTGTGTGTGCGAACCGGTCTCAGCACAGTCTTCACTGTGTTCTTATTTGCGTGTCATGCTTTTCTTTGCTGGATTGCCTTTGCGGTGCTCCTTTCCTCTTCGACGCCCCCGCTGGAGTGTCACCGCCTTTGCGTGTTGCTGCTGTCTTCTCAGACACCCCCCTCCCCACCTGCGTTTCCCTGTTGACCTTCCTTGCAGCATTCATCTGCTGTAGCTTTTCCGCTCTCTTCTGCTCGTCGATAATGCCTTCAAATTTGTATTCCCAGCGAGCCTTGGCCAAGTTATCAACCAGCCTCAGGTCTCAGCAGGATCGTCACCCTCTTGCAGTGGATAACAATGATGTTTGTTCTCTCGAAATGGTTGATGGGATATGTTTCGGGCGCTTCTAGCAATGCACGTATGGCGTTCATCTGAAACCTGATAGATTGTCCTGGTGCGATTTCTTTCTCAACAATCTCACGCACGACCCTCATGAACGGCCTCAAAGCGATGCACAAGTGAGTAGATCGCTGGAGTTGCCGAATTTCTACCAATGCTGCCATCCCTGCGCAGCATCTGCGCTTTTGAACCGGGGCAGCAGCTGCTTTGGAAGTCTGACCTTGATATGGGATATCTTTTTGTTTGCCTTTTGCTTTTGTTGAACTCCCAGGTCCACGAGGCGGCCTAGATGTGCACTGCTTCTTCTTCTTCTCTGCCCTTCCTGTCACGTGCTCCACAGGGGTGTCACCATCGTCAGGTTCTGCATTAAAACATCCCCCATCATTTGCTGTTTCCGGGCCATCGACCTGACTTGCCAAATGTGAAATGTCCTGCTGCTGCTCTGTTGTTGGTTGTCCATNGTTTGCCTTTTGCTTTTGTTGAACTCCCAGGTCCACGAGGCGGCCTAGATGTGCACTGCTTCTTCTTCTTCTCTGCCCTTCCTGTCACGTGCTCCGCAGTGGTGTCACCATCGTCGAGTTCTGCATTAGAACATCCCCCATCATTTGCTGTTTCCGGGCCATCGACCTGACTTGGCAAATGTGAAATGTCCTGCTGTTGCTCTGTTGTTGGTTGTCCATTCGATGCAGCACGAGCGTCGTCATCACCCACGTATTGAATGTGCCGCAGCAGTCGGTCTATGTAGGTGAGTTGGAAAGGGACATCGAGAGGGTCTCTAAATCTCATGCACATCTGTTCACCATGGTCATATGTCATGGGACAGACGACAGGGACCCACCCAAGAAGTGATGTGCACCCATGTCTGCGTCGAACGGCCTCCAGAAACATTCCATCTGTCGAGAGTCGCGCTTGCTCGGTGCACGAGTCTTCCACGATCGACCACATTGCCTGGTCATTATGGGAGTCATATCCCATACACACCATCTGCCGTTCTTCCTCCCTTATCTTCTCCCAGCAACGTTGCACGTGTTCCTCCAGCAATCCCCGGTCCTTCGCATGAGGATTGCAAACGGAGACACGTGTCACCACCACCAAGAACTGCCAATGCTCCACAACGCCAGCATGCATCCAACCCAAAGGCAGTCACTCACCAGATTGCATTATTGTTGCTAGTGTCACTTTGCCATCAACAACTGCTGGATGCAAAGAACCAGGTACCCAATTCACATGGTACCCGTACATGTCACGACCCACATGCTGGTACAACTGGCCTTCTTGAATCA